ACAAATGACATGCAATTATAAAACAACTCATGCATCGACACGGAATTCAAAAGTCGGGCAGATGCGACTCGGCTCGACTCTCAGTCGAAGACTCCACAGCGCCGTGCACTATCGCCGCGCCGCGGCCGCAGGTCGTGACCGGCGGTGCACGGAACAGCGCCGCCCGGGTGGCGTGCCGCGGTCACCGAACGTGACCCAGCCGCACATTCTCCGTCATCCGGGACTGGGAGCTCACCGTCAGCAGCAGCACGGAATTGCAACATAATGGCGGGCCATTTTAGCCGATTTAATTATGAGGTAGACATGCCAGGTGATCAGGCTTTGATGAGACTCCGGATTCGGGAGAGACAAAGCATCTATGAAATTTAGGTAGAAGATGTTTGCAGTTTAGAAAACGACAACCTTATTGCAAATTTATGTTTCCGCCATAGGCGGCGGAACGGGGGGGAGGGCACCGGGGCACCGTGCCCCCGTTTGATTTTGGCATTTTAACATTAGCCCTATGGGCGTTGCATGGAAAGAATGGGACTAAAAGTCGGCAGTGGAAAAGTGCCACCTTCGTGAAATATGAAGATATCGTTGCTTTTCATTTTGACATTATTATTTTTCATGTTCTTTTTAAATCTGGTGCCAGAAGTGCATAATTCGCAAAAAAGTATGTCGAACTATTTAACATATTGGTACTATGTTTGTACTCTCTACCGCACCTTCTGTATGATGTCATAGCGATGACATCACACTCAAGCCAATCAGCCTTCAGAAGACAGTCTCGTCGGCTTGTGTCAGATTAGCTGATTGGTTAAAGCTGAGCTGATTGGAGCTGATTGGTTAAAAACCAAAGCCTCGCCGCGGGTGGCTGTATTACAAGATAAGAACGCATTCCTGGGATAAGGACGCATTCCTGGCATATTTTCTTTTAAAATTGCCGATACCTACAAATGGAGGCCGAAATCGGCCGTAAGGTGGGACACTCTCGGGGTTTTCGGACACGGGCTACAAGATGGCCATCTCAGTTTCAAACCCCATGTTAACCCGCGCGGGGCTGGGGTCTCCAGCCGAACGCGCGGGGCTGGGGGGGGTAAATTTTACCCCCCCTGTTATCTCCCGAACTAACGGTCCGATTTGGAAAATTCAAACGCCAATCGAAAGCTCTCATCACGAACTACTAAAAACATGTACTTAATTTAAAGTTTGAGGTCAAGGTCAAGGTCAGGTCAAGGGTACAAATTGCAAGTTTCTACAGTATCGGCCTTGCACCGTAGTTGCCGAAGAATGGAGTCATGGACTGAGACTGATCGCCCAAAACGTGTTCTTAGGCTACCAAGACAATATTCGTTGCATACAATATCATTCAGAGATCAAGGTCAAGGTCAGGTCAGGTCAGGTCAGGTCACCAAAAAACAAAATATAGAAAAGGGCATGTGCGACACATGTTTTATGGGTCATTTTACTCATAGAATTCAATAGGCACACTCAATAAGTGATATGGACCACCTCTGGATGAATTTCAGGTCGAGGTCAGGTCAAGGTCAGGTCAAGTGAGGTCAAATTTTGAAGTTGGTTCTTAAGGCCTAAAAAGGTGTCTATCTGATGCAGTTTTTCACGGCGAATCGAATGGTGCTATTTTTGTTTCCGTACGAGGTCTAGAACTTCCAAAAAGTCATTTTTCAAAAAATTTGTGTGTCGTGACGTCATAAAATTTTGAATAACTCCCACATTTTTGATCCGATTCTTCTAAAATTTGGTATGTAGGTGCGCGTATATTCGGATGCAGTATGAGTAGAGCATGGGTCCCGAAAAATTCTTCAGAAACTAGAGAAATTCTCGCGGCCACCGGCATTTAGGCGATCTGCTCGTGCTTTTGTCACTGGAGCGCTTCTTTCACGGAGATTGCGCCGGCCGCCTGCAACGGACGAAAAATACACGGCTTTGCAATCCGGCTGATCGTGGGAAAATACAGCCGGAGCCCGGAGGTCTCGGCTCTATGCAGGTATAGGTACCACCGGGAGAGATGTATTTATTGTATAGTATATACCACTGGCTCAATGTATAGCCTGCAAGTTGGCTTTGGTGCAAACATGCCAAACAGGGTATAGGGCGGATCGATGTAAGCAAATCAGACGTTCAATTGACAATTTCCGATTCTTATTCGATAATTACGACCAATTATATTTTATTTTGGGAAGTGTTATTGGGACCGGAGCAATAAAATCTCATTTTCCCCTGTCTCCTTACCTATCTCCCAAACCCCTTGCTCACGATCATCTTTCCTCTCTTTAGGTATCAGTCTCCTTCCCGTCCTCCCTGAGTCTCTGACAAGTAATATCCATGTCTCTAAGTCTTTTCCTTCATCTGATCCTCCTTTCTCTCACCACCCTTCTCTCTCTCTCTCTCTCTCTCTCTCTCTCTCTCTCTCTCTCTCTCTCTCTCTCTCTCTCTCTCTCTCTCGTCCGTCTGTCCATCTCTTTGTCCGTCTCTCCGTCCGTTCGCCCGCCCTTCCGTCTCTCAGTCCGTCCGTCCGTCCGTCCGCCCTTCCGTCTCTCAGTCCGTCCATCCGTCCGTCCGTTTCTCCATCCGTCCGTCCATCAGTCACTCTCTCCGTCCGTCCGTCATCAGTCTCTTCGTCCGTCCATCCGTCTCTCCGTCCGTCCGTCCGTCTCTCCGGAGGTGCAACTTTTCCCAAATAGTTCTTGGAACGTCACACAGTATATCGAACCCACATATTACATAGAGGTGCAACTTTTTCAGGTCCCACGTTCACCACGTCCAACGTTCTAACAGGTCCCAATTTTCCTGCCTTTTGGGTCATTGACCTGACCTGGAAGGTCAACCGATGACCCAGGACCTTAAAATTGGGTATCATCGGCTTCCTCTCGTCACGGGCAACACGCTGGTTTTTTCCGCGAAGCTCTAGCTTGATCAGGAGCGAAACGGCAAGGGGTTATACCTTATACGTTCGCGGCTGGAAAAAAACACCTATACGGGCGAGGGTCAAGTTGAAAGTATTAATTTGGTTCAAAACGATGATGTAGATAAGTTAGTTATTTAAAACTAAATATCCTATGACGAGAGCGATGGACATTTTTGGTATGCAGTGTTATCCATTGAAAACAGGTCAAAGCTATTGAGTTTTTAATTTAGTGGTCGCCGCTTACTAATCATGCGGCATACACGCCGCACATAACCGCCAATGCCGCAACGCAGCTTAAATTTCGAAGTAAGCATTTAGTCTCACCCGCATTCATATGGTACCCGTCGTGTGTGTCCGAGAATTTCTCTAGTTTCTGAGGAATTTTTCGGGACCCATGCTCTGCTCATACTGCATCCGAATATACGCTGTAGGTGCACATAGACCACTTCTCTGACATATATTCCGGTTTTTTCGATAGACTCAAAATTTTGGATTTTATAATGATTTTCCCAAAAAAAGTCAGTTTTTTGAAAAAATTTAGGTCAAAATCCAAAATTTTCAAAAAACCGAGATAGCCATTTGATAGACAAAGTAAAATTACGTATAACCTTTTTTGTTACGTCTTGATTCCTTTAAAGGGACCCTCCCACCTTAACATTAGATTTGAGTTGAGATAGCCAAAATGGGGTCCCTGGCTCACAATTACCGGTTTCGGCATTCACAACATCGAGAAATGCCTTAAATCGGAAATATTGAATTTCAAAATTGCAGCATTTTGATTCAGAGGGGCTAATGCTTAGGAATACCCCTCTGAATGTGTGACGTCAGCGCAGATATCTAACGATTTTTAAATGTTTGACTAAAACGTTTAGTAGCACGCGGTGGTATATGCTTTTTCCGCGCAACATCTGCCGCAAACGCCGCACTTCTAAAATAAAGTCGCTAGAAACAGCGGAGATCTCAAAAAAGTAAACAAAAGTAAAAGTCTAATATCTTGAAAACCGGTGAATACTTTTCGGTGAAATTTAGTAGATATTCGTTTTCGCTCTTTCTGAACCGAGCGACATCACTTTCATGCCAATTCATAAACTTTTTTGAAGGTGGGAGGGTCCCTTTAAAAATGAAGATGTTAGCGGCGTTTGAACTTTTGCCGTTTTTGAGGCGAAAATGACGAACATGACGTCACTAAAACGTCAATTTCTCAAAAATTTTCCGACGGATTTCGCTCAAATTTTCAGGGAACGTGTCAAATTGATGTAAGAAAAGGTACTGAAAGTTTGGCGGCGCTGCGCGCCGCCGTTTTTGAGATATCGCAAAAATTCGCGAGGGGGGGTAAAATTTACCCCCCCAGCCCCGCGCGGGTTAAAGGCGACCCTTTTCCTGGTTTCCTGTTTCCTGGTTTGAAGGTGTTCCGCCGCTACTGGTCACAGGTCAAAGGTCATTTTGGTCAGGGCCATTAAATTTTGAGGGTAGGTATGTGTAACATTGATCAAAACGATGGTGCTGAAAGTTTCGTCGCGATCGGCCGCTTTTTACACGAGTTATTCGCGAAAAGTAAAAACCTTAGGGGGGTGTATCAACCCCCCTGTGCCGGCGAGGGTTATGGTAGGGATCGGACCGTAAACGGTAAAACTCATATCACACTGTAAAGTTATATCATTGCAAGATTATTTTGACTTAATTGCTCGATAGCCATTAGCCAAGCTATGAAAACATGTTAAAATTGGGGTGCCTGTGTTATCCTATCTAAATTTGAGTCCTATAGATGCTACTAGTTTGACGGACATGCAATCCCACACCACTTTCGCCGCACATGTGACTACACCAAATTTGTTCTATTACTTTGTCAACAGAACAAACCATGCCTGCCGAATGCAAGCTGGCCGAACGTAATATTTTTGTTAAAGAGATTAATAATGGACAATTATATTATTTATGTTCGTTTGTTACCAGACTTTACAAAAACCTTCCAATTTGATCCATACAGTTCACAGGGAATATTAATAAGCAAAATTATCCTGCATGAGTTCTGCGTACGATGTATGCTGATACGGATGTCGAACAGAACCACCTTGGTGTGAAGCGCTGCAGGCCGGCTTGTCTTTGACTTCTGGGAGTAATTTGGCGTCATGTTGTCCATTTTGTCGTGGTTTCATTAGCGATATTCATAAACGGACACCTTACTATTCTAGAAAACTAGCTAACCAAGGAGGGAGTCTGCTTCTTTTGCAACTTCTGCCAGGTAAGTGTTGGCAAATGTCTGGGTAAAAGTATACATTAGGTCCGAGTGCCTGTTATAAGATAAAGTTTTCACATTCTTACATTATTTGACATCCTGAATCCAAAAATGATACTTACATGTACTGGAAACGTGGAAAAAACACCAAATCACCAACCCATTTCACTGCAATACCACCCGGCGGCATTAAAGGGATTATCAGGGTTTAAAAATTGAAAGGAATCGGCATAAATTTCCAATCAATGAACTCCCCAGACTCTGCTGATTCTAAATATATGCATAAAATGTAAATCGGTACCAAAATTTGCGAGATATAGCCGTTTCAAAATTGACAAAATTGTACTTACTCACGCAAAACAAGTACTTGGGCGGCCAAGTTGGCCCATCACTAAAATGTAAACAAAGAGCAGCCTTGGGAAATTTCGCCAAGGGCCCTGTTTCACCGGTGATAGCAGCTAGCTACTATCAAATTGCGCGAGCTGACGTAATGTGATGACGTCATACTGCTGACGTAAGGGGCAATTCTGGCGCACGATTGCCGCAATATTGTTTTACGTCATCAGCTAAATGTTCGAAGTTAATGTCCAAATTTTTCCTAAACCCAACTTCTTTTAAATACATCATATTGAAAAAATATATATCAAAAATATATATACTATCATGACTGCGTTAACTCTTACTTTTAGGCTCATACGTCACTTAATGCCGCCGCCAAGGTCGCGGCAATCGTGCGCCGGAACTACCCATTACGACAACAGTATGGCGTCACGACATGACGTCAGCTCGCGAAACGTGATAGCAGCTTGCTGCTATCACCGGTGAAACAGGGCCAAGGCCGCCGCACCGCACTGTCGATTTCCACAAGACGGGTAGTATTCTATGACCGTGAAGACGGGTCTTGTCTGTTTTGTTTTTGTCTGTTGTTTTTAGGGCCTTGCAACAAGATTTCAGTGCTTGGCATTGAATTTGGATATGAACAAATTGAAGATTTGCTTTTCAATAAGACAGCAAGAGTTATCAACATTGCCAAAGTTATTATTTTGATTTGGGTGTGATTTGAATAGCTTGAGCTTGTTTGCTGATCATCAAATCTTGATTAATATCATTTAAATGTCAACAATTTTCAAGGGTAAATTTGAGTGTTTTATTTCAATAAATTGAAATGTAAGTGCATCAGGCACAAGAGCTAAGTTTCAATCTGATTATTTTGTCAAGAGTGGTCAATCTAATGTAACGTCTTGCGAGAAAGCTTACCTAAGTGACTGAAGAAAGCGCTACCTACAGTTTTTCAAGATCTATGTTGATCTGTTTTTTCGAACAACAGGTTGTACAACATGATGTTGTGACATGACCTCTGTGTCCTGTACGTCTCCCCTGCTGCTGCAGCAGAGCCCCGGCTTCAACTATAGTTTGTTATGGGTGGGCTCTCCGTGAACGTCTTGGTGCGTTTCTACATATTGCTGCTGTGAAAGGACGGTACATGAAAAAATATGTAACTTGTATGTTTGTTATTGCCCTGGTACCTACTTAATGTATATTTTTGTTGTTGATGAGTGATAAATGAATACATTTTGAGGAAAATTGAGGCATTTCAGTTTAAGTTTGTGGAACAGAACAGAAGAAGCTGCTGAGTGCGGATCATGCTTCAATTGAGAGAATCATCCTCAGTTATCTACATATAGGCATGCTTTGTAAGCTCCTTGCATTTTGCCAGCTTCTACTTGCTAGTCAAAGTTGTAAGAAGGGTTAGGGAGAACAATTGGTACACATGCCACCATGTGCAATCACCAAACGAATGAACGTGAGGGCCAAGTCCTTCACACAGCATGGATGCTTATAGGTACTGCACTAATGTATAATGTTCATTATGTTCATATTAGCAACTCACCCAGGCAGCCTGCCTTGTGGTATTTCTGAGTTTAAGATTTTGTAAGACTCACACTAATCATAAGGTAAATTATATTGATATGGATGGATGAACAATGTGCAAAGGGGTCGCACGTGCCTGCTCAGTGCTCAGCCATGGATGCACGTGCCTTCTCAACAATGGGCGTGCTTGCAGACATCTCCATGGACGAACAATGTGCAAAGGGGGGGGGCGTGCCTCCGCGGCCGCCTGTTGGCTCAGCCGCTGCTGCTGCTTGGCGCCGCTGCTGAGCGCTGCCGGAGACGCCGCTCGCTGCCGGAGCTGCCGGAACAGTCACCGGAGCTGCCGCCCGCTGCCGGAGCTGCGGGAGCCGGGCCCGCCGCTCATCTGTCAGGACCGCCGACGGCAGCACGCCCGTCTGTCAGGGTCTGTCAGTGCCGGCAGTGGACGCGCGCGGGTGCGGGCCGGGTACGGACGCGCGCGGGTGCGCGCCGGCTATGGACGCGCGCGCGCTTGCGTGCCGACGATGGGCGCGCGCGCGTGTATGCCGACCATGGCTGCCGCCCGCTGCCGGAGCTGCGGGAGCCGGGCCCGCCGCTCATCTGTCAGGACCGCCGACGGCAGCACGCCCGTCTGTCAGGGTCTGTCAGTGCCGGCAGTGGACGCGCGCGGGTGCGGGCCGGGTACGGACGCGCGCGGGTGCGCGCCGGTACGTGCCGGGTACGAACTCGCTTGGGTGCGCCCCGGCTGTGGACGCGCGCGGGTGCGCGCCCGGCGCCGGGTACGGACGCGGCGTGCTCGCCGGGTAAGGACGCGGCGCGCGCTTGCGTGCCGACGATGGGCGCGCGCGCGTGCATGCCGGCCATGGCTGCGCGCGTGCGCCCCAGCCATGGACGCGCGCTAATGCGCGCCGGCGATGGGCACGCACGTGCCTGCTCGGCAATGGATGAGCGACGAGCGTGCCTTCTCGGAAATGAGTATACATGCAGACATTTCATGGATGAACGCTTTCAATATGTTCAATGTGTTGAGACGGATCTGAGTAAACTGGAGAGAAACTAGGATAGTTTTAGTCCTGCTCAACTAGTTCTGCCAATAAGTACAAACACCACCTTGCTGCCAACTGCTTACCAAATACCGCATCTGTTGTACCCTTGCATGATGCATATGTACATACAGAAAAAAATACAGTCTGTTGAAATCTGAAAACATACACTGCTGAGCACTGTGGATGAATCTGTATGAACCCTGTGGCTCAGCAAAACCTTCTGGCCCAGGTTATAATTGACAGTGAATTAGGAATCAATCCTTGCCAAGAGAAAATAGATCATTGTGCTTTAGATGAGCATAATGAAGAAGCGTTCCTGAAGTTGAGTTAGTGGCTTTCCATCATCCATGCCAGATGGCCAAAACACACCATTTCAATACTGTCCCAAAAATATATTTCAAAACACTTATTGCATGGCTATACACACCAGCTTACTCAGTCACCACACTCAAACCAAGGCCATATAAGGGTAGTAGTATAGCAGGCGTCACACTTGTTTTTTTGCAACCATGAACGAACGAAGAGAGGCGCTGTAGGTTAGGTTTGGTTTGGTAAGGTTTGGTGAGAAAGCATCTCTGGGTATAGCGCATCTCCTTGGTTGCAAAAAGAAGTGTGACGCCTGCTTTATGACTACCCATATAAGTAGACTCAAACACAGTCTACTGATACAAACGTCACTGGTCTCAAGTCTGCGCTCAATGCACCAGATGTACACTACTCACAATACGTCAGGACTCAACGTCAGCCACCAATTTTCTACATCAAAATTCACATCAGGTTTTCAATGTAACAATGTATGTGCCACTTCTGTACTTTGTGCTACAAACACAGAATAAATGATATCAGTCAGCAATGCATTGCTCATTGTCAGCCAAAGTCTGCAAAGTCAGTCCGCAGGCTTTGCAAGTAAGTGCAAAGTCTGCGGAGATCAGTTGCTTTACACACGACCAATATCATGCTGCAATGTGCTCAAAACATGCCTATACACCAACAACAAAGCACAACCATGAAGCACCACTGATAACACTTAACCTCAAAGCACACAACATGATAATTTATTTATTTTGAGTACCTACAGAAACAGAATGTCTCAAGGCCACTCGTGCTCACTCCGAAATCTGCCAGTCGCTCAGCCTTGAACATTGACATTATTTCATCTGAAATCTATTTTCTTCACTTGATCAAAGTTGATCTGCGTCATACATCTTACAACGGATGTCTCGAATTATTGGTAACGTTCAGCACTTAGCATTAAAAATGATAGGTAACTTTGATTCAACACTAGTTCCATCCAAGCTTCTTCATTGCTTGAGCTATATCACTTTCAAGTTTAATTACTTGAACTAAGACATTCTTGAATTACACTCGGGATGAGCTTAGTTTGAACGCACACAACACAATTTTTTAATTTGAATTATTTTGATAACCCACAGGATATCTAGAATGAGAAGCTGAGAAGAATGAGAAGAAGGTTGTGTTCGTTGTGTTACGGACCTATGCTATATTTCCCTATTTTGTCTTGGGAAAATATGAATGAATGAATGAATGAATGAATGAATGAATGAATGAATGAATGAATGAATGTATTGTTCCACGACCCCATGTCGGGGTAAGGGAAAGAACATCGGTGCTTGAATCACAACAACTATACACACATGAAAAGTTTGTACTAAATAGGTACTACTATACAGTTTATGGCACATATCTAGCTACCTATGTTGCGAGGGTTTACATAGCCTTGGTTGCGAGGATTATATACAACACCGTATCCTGAGCAAGTAGCCGGTCAACCGTCAAACAGCAAACAATGATGACTATTAATGTTGCAGACACTCGTGACTCGAAACTGCCAAACAGCTATAATCAGGTCGTTTGGCGAAAGACTAGTGAGCCGGCAGCGCCAGGGCGGACGGCATGACAACAAAGATGAATAAGCTCGACACAGCCCAACTGCAACAAGTTGGGAATAAGAAGAGTGATTCGAAACTTCTCAATACACATGTTCGCATATGGTCACTGATATATAATATATGGAGGAATATATGATATATAATATATATAATATAATGGAGCATGTAATCCATTATA